ATTAAATATTGTTGGGGAGATTTGTTGTACAGTTTCAAAGGGGAACGTGAAGACGAATGCAACATTATATCTCACAGAGAATCCAGGACTAGATTTGCTGGGTATAGACCTAATAGAAACACTAAAATTAGCAAATCACTCCATTAGCCACATATGCAGCTCCGTAAGAACCAGTAAACCAGTGGAAAAGGATCTGAAGAATGTTGTGTTGGAAAGACATAGTCATGTGTTTACGGAAGAATTTGGGGTGTGCAAAAAGGTAAAAGCACCATTGATTCTTAAACCGGGAGTCACTCCCGTCTTCAGACCAAAACGTCCAGTACCCTATGCAGTGTTGCCTATTGTTGAACAAGAACTAGAGCATCTGCAAAGAAGTGGAATAATAGAACCAGTAAAATTTTCTGATTGGGCAGCACCAATAGTGATTGTGAAAAAGCCAAATGGAAGTATTCGGCTATGCGTAGATTATTCGACTGGATTAAACAAAACACTTAAAGCCCATCAATAGCCTTTTCCGGTACCAGAAGATTTATTCACGAAAATGAATGGGGGTAAGTACTTTGCAAAATTAGACCTATCAGAAGCTTATCTACAGATTCCAGTAGCGGAAGAATGTAAGCATTACTTGACAATAAACAATCATAAAGGGTTGTTCCCATATAACAGGCTTTCTTTTGGAGTAAAGACCGCCACTTCAATCTTCCGACAAGTTCTGGATACTATGTTACAGGACGTTCCTGGTACTGCAGCCCATCCCGATGACATACTGATCATGGTTAAAGACTATGCTGACTTAGAGAATAAGGCGGACACGGTTCTCAGACGCATAGCAGATTATGGGTTCAGATTGAGTGCTGAAAAATGTGATTTTTAAATGGAGCAAGTCCGTTATTTGGGATTCTTGACCAATAAAAACGGAAGAAAACCTGATTCTGAAAACGTCGAAGTTATCAAGTCCATGCCTCCATCAACAGATGTGTCAACTGTACGTTCTTTCTTGGGATTGGTTAGTCATTATGGCGTTTTTCTCCCAGATCTTCATCGCCTTCGTGCTCTTCTTAATTGCTTACTGAAAAAAGATACCAAATGGTTCTGGTCAACCGAATGCCAGGAAGCATTCGTAAAACTAAGGCAGCTCCTATCACCAAACCTTCTACTTAGACACTATGATCTAGATCTTCCAATTATAGTCGCAGAAGATGCGTCAATCTAGGGAATCGGAGCAGTAATTTCACAAACCTACCCTGACAGGTCTCAGAAGACAATCACCCACGCTGCAAGATCGCCGACTATGACTGAAAGGAACTAGTCAGATAGAGAGGGAAGCCCTCTCCATTATATTCGCTGTACAAAAGTTCCACAAGATGCTGTTTGGCAGACAGTTCACCTTACTTACAGACCATAAACCTCTACTGACAGTTTTTGGATCCAAAAAGGGTATCCGTGTATATATGGCAAACCATCTACAGCGATAGGTAACTTCACTGCTGGGCTATGATCTCGAGAAAAAGTATCAACTGACAACCGATTTTGGACAGGCAGATGCCCTCTCAAGATTGATTGGTTCGCATGCAAAACAGGAAGCGGAGGTGCTTGTTGCTGCCATAGATAACAACGCTGAGGTTCACAAAGTGTTGGCAGATGCAGTTTCCGGTCACATTCGAATCCATTAAAGAAGCTAGCAAGAAGAATAATACATTGAGGATTGTTCACCACTGCATACTCAACAAGTGACCTTCATCTAGACTACATGGACAACTCTTACAATATTTTCGTCGACGAGACTCCTTAACAGTTGTCGATTCGTGCATCATGTTTGGCCACCGTATCGTTATCCCCAGGAATCTTCGACACCAAGTCATTAAGCAGTTCCACAGCGGGCACTTGGAGACAAGCAAAATAAAATCATTAGCTCGCAGCTATGCATACTCGCCGTCAATGGACCGTGATATAGAACAAAAATGTCGCAGTTGTTGGTCCTGTCTAGAGGCCGCAAACAATCCAGCGAAAGCTGAGCCAAAACCATGGCCAAAACCGAACGGGCCTTGGCAAAGAATACACGCTGATTTTGCCGGACTAATACAAAGCAAAAATCACTTAATTGTTGTCGATGCTTTTACAAATTGGCCAGAAGTATATGACATGCCGAAAACGACATCAGAGAGTACAATAAGAAGATTGTCAGGATCGTTTGCTTGTTTCGGGGTTCCAGAGATCTTAATGACCGACAACAGCACTCAGTTTGTGTCATCCGCTTTCAAACGCTTTCGCAGTGAACATGGCATATCGCATCTACAATCTCCTCCGTACCAACCTCAGTCGAATGGCCAAGCAGAAAGATTCGTGCATACGATTAAAAGAGCTCTGGTCAAAGGGGGAGGTGAGCGTATTCCAGAACAAGTGATCAGTAAGTTCTCAATGTCTTACAGAGTTACCTCTTATGCGGCAATGTCAGTTATGTAGTGGTTTTCACATTGACTTTGTTTCGGAAAAGTCCTCAGTGTTTGTTGGCTAACTTTTCCAATGAGCTTCATTCACTGATACACCTTTACATCTCCATTACATTGTACATTCGCTTACATCGAACTTTGTGTGAATTTATCAAAGCGTGATTCGTGACATCATTACCTCTAATCAGATAACACTTTTTATTTTGGATTTTACTTTTTTGTCTAATATTTACAAAAATTTACTCTCTAAGTATATAATGAAACTTCACTATATGCTGTTTGTATGTGTAAGTGGAGTATTTGTAGATTATTAACACAATGTTTATTAAAAATTTCTTTATATTCGAACTTCTAAATGGTACATTGAATAGCGGAGATAATCATCTAACATCGCTGATATCAATTGTCATGCAGAGGTTACTGTTCAGTTCTTCAAAACTTTTATAAAGAACATTCTTCCATATAGTCTTTCCACATTATTCACCCCACAATATTAGCATTTCTCGACCTTAAGGCGGCATTCGACTCTGTTGATCGTGAGGTTATGTGGCAGTGTTTGTCACTGAAAGGAGTATGAAAAAGTACATTAACCTCATAACGGCTCTCTACTCGAACACAACTGGTCGAGTGAGAGCTTATGGCGAAATGTCCTGAGAATCAATCACCTCTTAAGCGGTGTTCGTCAGGGCTGTCCACTCTCTCCATTCTTGTTTAACTTTGTCGTTGACATCCTTTTAGAGATGACACTTTTCTCATCTAAATTTCCAGGCGTTAAACTTCTATCGGGAGATTCACTTATTGACTTAGGATATGCCGATGACATAGTACCATTTGATGAAGACGTTGACAAAATGCAGTCTTCTGATCACTATAAGCAACACTGCAAGCATGTTCGGCATGCGATTCTCCAACTCGAAATGTAAAATGTTACTTCAGGATTGGGTTACATCGACACCTGAACTAATAATGAGTGAAGTAATTGAGCATGTCGGCCGCCTCACTTTTCTTCGGAGTCTCATCAGCCCTTGTGGTTTGGTGTGTGACAAAATCTCAGCACGGATACAGAAAGTGCGACTGGCTCTTGCCAAGTTGCGTCACTTATAGTGTAGGCGAGATATTCAATCAAAGGACGGATTTACTGAGCAGCAGCTCGTTACGTCCTACATTATAGCTGTGAAACATTGCCGGTAAGAGTAGAGGATATTCGTAGGTTACTAGTATTCGAGCATAGGTGTCTTCAAAGCATTTTTCATATATCCTAAGATCATCGAGTAAGTAACTCAGTTGTTAGGAAATGGATCCTAGGTAACGACCATTAATCAATTGATGAAGTAGAAAAACTTCATCAGTTGAGATGTCTGGGACATGTATGGCCAACTACCGACTGCCCCGATGTGCGATGTTTTATGGTGTAGGAGTAGATTGAAAGAAAGCTAGGGTCGGCCAAACCAATACATGGCACAAATCCATGAAGTCACTAAGGACAAGTGGACTGAGCCATGTCGGTAGGTATAGACTACCTGGTTGGGATCTCCGAGATGATGACAACCAATGGTTGGAGACCTTGAATGACATGGCTCAAAATCGTTTACAATTGTGTGAGCAGGTGCATCTACTCTTTGTGTTCTCTCAAACTCTAATCTTCTGAATTCTTCATGTCGCTTTTTTTTTCTCTTTCCAAATTTATTTCACTGTATTATACTCTTTGAATAACATCTTCAAACCCTAATGTCCCCTATTACTACCTTTACGCAGTAAAACTTCTACCACTATAGAATATGAATTGACAATTGTTTCTATGGCAACTTGAACTGATGTACGTACGTATGTACATAAGATGTTTTACATTGTTACTAACTGACTGATAACTTGATCACTTTCTATTTAGAAAATTATGAATTTTGTTAAATGACCACACTACTGCCCGTGTATAACCTTTCAATCTTTTGTTTCCTATAAAAAATATTCATCAAAATCTTAATTACAGTATCGTCAAATGATGATGATGATTTTAACAAAACACTAAAATTTCAATGATTAAGATCATGAGTCAGTTGAATCTAGATCACCACCATGGAAAACCTGGAAGCACTGGACGGCCGTTTCGTCCTATTATGGGACTCCTCAGCAAAGCGCATCCACGACCTCGCCCCCTACGAGATTTGAACCCAGGACGTACTGGTTTCGCACCGCGAGCAATTAACTACTAGACCACTGAGCTGGCCGGCATCCAACGGTGTTCATGTCTAACTTCAACAAATCCACGAAATTAAGCGACACATCCAGCATTGTCTTTAGTGAGTTACTATCTCACAATTGACCTAGTTGAACTCCACTGGTCAGTACTTCTCACTAGAACTACAGGATATACCTCTTGAAGTCAGTCACTAGTGAGCATATGTTGATTAATATCAGAAGGGAGTTTTATGGAGATTGTAGTAATTTCAATGATTAAGATCATGAATCAGTTGAAAATACTAAAACACAACAGAAACAAAACAAACAGTCATAAGAATAGCGATGAGTAACAGATTTTATTTATTTTTTTTTATCATTTTGTAAAGTTTTTCGAAATATTCTGTTGATAGTAAAATGATTAATATAAGGAGTGTGTGTGTGTGTGTGTGGTGTAGGGAGAGTGAGGGGTAGAGCATGGTATATTAGCAACAACATTGTCTGAAAAAGATGTCTACATATATATATATATATATCATAACTAATAGTGTTTTACAAAGAAAAGTAATTAGAATAAGAACAACATGATGAACGCATCTACAACATACACACACACACACGCACACACATAAAAGCAACTCATAATATAAAGAACACAGTAAAATAAAAGAACAAAACAATAGAATGAGCATAGATTTACTACATATACAATATGAAATAGGTTCCCCTTTTGCATGATCATAAGTAAATGACTACACAATGTCACACATACACACACATACATACATACATGTTACATAATACATACATATAGATAGATAGATACATACATACAAAGGACTCTAGTGAAGAAAAGATATTAAACATAATTACCTATATAAATGATATTATTAAAACGAAAAAAACGTGTGTGTGGGGGGGTAGGGCAGATTTCAAAGAATCATCCCAAACACAATAGAACAATTGAATATATTCAATAATTATCTATGCATAAGCGTGTACAAAGTGAAGTGAAGTATGAAGTGAGAATAACAGTATTATTTAATGGTTGAAATAGATAGATAGATAGATAGATAAAAAATAAATATCATTCATAGAAATTCATATTGTACTATTCATAAATGTTTAGTTCATTGATCAATATATATAGTTGGTAAGGCGGGAAATGAATATACAAACTTCATAACCTTCATCAATTCACACACACACACAGACACATATATATATTGTAACCTTTCAATGTGAATAAGCTCACACATAGAAACATAGAAGTCAATCAAACAAAGAAAAATGTATGATTGAAAAGGTCTAAAGATCAAATCAAATCAATTCATAAAAGACCGGGGTTAATAAAAAGAAAAAACAAAACAAAACCAATAATAATAATAATAATAATCAAAAGAAGAAGAAGAACAAGAAGAAACCTGATATATAATGAGATCATATAGTTTAGTGAATCTATGATTACATTGTCATAATTACAATTTATATTATGAATAATAAATAAATAAATAAATAAAGTGATCACTTATGAGATGAGCAAAGTGATAAAATAAGACGAGAAAAAAAAAGAAAGAAAGAGAAGTACAAAAAACAGCAGCGCCACCACCGTCATCACCACCACCACCGACAACAACAACAACTTACCAGCAAAAAGAGAAGAAAACCAGATACATGATAGGACAAATATAAACTGTAACTGAGATATAGCGCATACACACACACATCCATATACATGATCATGAGGCAGTTGATGAAAAGTGATTAACGTTGAGAGAGAGAGGGGGGGGGAAAGAGAGAGGAGAAAAAAGCAACAAAGAAAACAATATACATATATGTATATATCATGAGAATATTATACACAGAAAAAAAAACAACAAAAGAGAAAAAAAACAAGTAAAATAACATTGATTGATGTTTGGTTTAAAATAAAATCTCTATTTAAAAGAAAGAACATGGTAAAACAAACAAACAAACAACAACAACAACAGAAAATAAAGAGATGAGTACAGTTCCTACCCCCCCTCTTTCTTTCGTTTTTTTTCCTCTAAAAATTACCTACATTGACAATATTGATTTTTTGTTTCTTTATATTGTAAAAGTACAAATGTGAATATGTAAGTTGAGTTTGGTTATTCTTATTCTTATTATTTTTTTTTTAAAAAAAAATAATCATCATCATCATCATAGAAATTACATGTTGTATATCATAAATAAATAGTTAATGGCTTGGTTACAATAATAAATAGATAAATAAATAAATAAATAATGAGATCCAAAAAAAATTTAATATAATAACAATAAAGAAGCATAGAAACAATGATCATATTTGATAATAACAGTCATAGCAACAACAACAACAAGAACAACAAACAAAAATGGTAAATATTGACATGGATACATAAACTAAAACATTCATCTAATCATTATCATCATCATCAATTAGAATAGATCAACTGATAGAGGTAGGAAATAGGGAGGGGGGCGGAGAGAGAGTCACAGAGAGAGAGAGAGAGAGCGCACAATCAACTACATACAATATACATAGTGTATTATACACACATAAATAAATTCAATATAGATAATAGAAATTTAAATTGTTTTATTAGTAGTATGTAAAATAAAATATTTCATAATAGAATTGAATGTATTACGATTGCCTGAAATGCGTTTAAATCTTACACCATATTGAATTGGTTTAGCTAATTGAAATATTTCCATATCCCATATAATTAAATTCATTTTATTATTTAAATGAATTGAATAAGATAATTCAGACTGTTGTTGTTGTTGTTGTTGCTGGGGATGGTGGTGTTGCTGTTGTTGTTGACATGTTGTTACTGTACCATGTTCTAATGGTTGATCAATATCCACATCTTTAATAATGTTATGATCATTTGAACAAGGAGAGGAACGAAGAGGAGGAGGAGGAGGAGGAGGAGGAGGAGGAGGAGAAGAAGAAGAAGAAGCAGAATCAGAAGATGGATTCATTAATTTTGTACAACGTATACGATATGAACTAAGAAATTCATAAGAACATTGATAATGTTTTATTAATTCAATAATTTGTATTAGTAAATGATGTGGATCAGTTCCAATAATAGGGAGACGTAATACAAAATATAAACGACGCGGTTTCCATAATTTTTGATTTTCATTATTTTCATAATAAAAATTATAATGATCATTAGTTGATTTAAATTGTGATGATGAGGTAGTTGGTTTCCAATTGATTAATCTTGTTGTAAAATCTGTTTTAACTGTTAATGGAGATGAAGTTGTTGTTGTTCTTGTTGTTGTTGATGACGAGGAGGAGGATGATAATGATATTATACATGATGGAGTTGTGATAGTTGAAGCTTTTAATTTATGCATGTCGGAAGTTATGACTACAGTTCTCGAGATTGGAGGGTCGAGGAGGCAACATGGTTCGACTCCGGTCTTTTCTATAAAAATAAACAAGAAAACAAATTATAAGACGAATGAAGTATAACTACAACTGAAGATGGTCAAGTTAGTAAATAAAAACTGGTTAAATAAAAACATATATATATATATATATATATATATATATATATATATATATATATATATCATACACGGATTTAATTCGTTTACCCTTATCAAAATATTACTGAGATAACTAAGGTAACTGTGCAAAGTAGTTACGGTGGGGTTGGGTGGGGGAATATAAAAAGCACCAAAAAAGAAAAAAAAATAGATAACATGTAGATTATGCAAAACAAAAAAAATTTTGTGCAGTCAATATCCAATTAAAAAAAAACGAGATAATTAACACGTTGTTACAACAAACTAACAAACAAACAAACAAGAACGTAGATACAGATTAGATGCAAAATAAAACAAAGAACAACACAGTCTAAATGTAATTGATTCTTAGTCACATTATAAAGAGAAGAAAAAAAAAAGGACAGAAACAACAACTTGCTTCAATCTATGATAACTAACGAATAGAATCGATCATGAATTCAATAAGGCAGTACACATATACAAGCTCTACCCCCTTTCTTCCAAAAGTAAACTTCTCAACGATAGAACCCAAAAAGAAGACAACACTGTAGAACAATTGAAATTAAATAACTTTGTATAGATATATATACATTTAGCAATAAAAACCTGACTTTGGGAAAGAAAATCACGGAACTAAAAGTGATAATAACCAATCAGAAAACAGCATGGTCATGTGAAAAATCAGAATGAAAAAAAAAAACAATGTGTTTTTGAAGTTATCTTATTACAATGAAGAAGAAATTAACATTCAATGATAGAAGTTAGATAAGTTATCTTCTAAAGTTTTTTTTATTTATAAAATAAACCCCAGGTCGATGATCTGGGAACTCTTCAAGGAATATTACATTTCATAACCTATAAAGGGCCCGATTCATCTTGTTGTGCTAATGCAGTATGGCAACTTGGACCGATGCATATACGTGCCTGGTCCTACGTTGCAGCTGACTGACTGAAAGGGCCGGGTTAAAAACTTGGGATATTTAATTGTAACAGTGAGTATATGTAGTACACCACTAATGAAAGTTTTGAAAAGAGAATAACGACAACTTTTAAAGATTATGTTATATAACGGTTAGTTTCTCTTTGTCTACACGAATAAGACATTGATCTACGTTAGACGAATATCTACATTAGATTGCTACCCAGTATCTATGATTCTACAGGATTTCAACACAACTGAGATGATCAACAACATGTGATTAGTCACAGCAAAAAAAAACCCCGACACAATCCAATAACAATCAATAATAAGGATAAGAGAATATATAACATATAACTAATACCTGTCAAACTATCTACTACTAGTCTGATTAAGCAAACAACCAATCATTAAAACACATTCTCGATGAATGCTCATTAGAACTAAAATGATCATCAAAGAAGAATGTTAAAAGTTTCTACATCCAAAAACAAACCGATCAATCTTAATAAAAGTATCCTGTACATCAACGAATTCTATTCATATTCGCATTTAAAAGAACTATTGTTAAACATACACATAAGTGAACAAACAGTATGGGTTATTTATATCCATATAAGTAGTATATAATGATAGTCAAGCATAGAATGTATTTCAGTAAAAGATCAAGAAGGAAAGAACGGGGAATGGAACACAATTCGTATGAAAATGCCATGAACAATGAAATCTGAAATAATGAAGTGATATTAACAAAAGGAATAGTCATGCTTGAGACAATGGATTGATATTTAGTAAATTAACTAGTTACTACTAATTATGTGCTCAAATACATTTGATTATCCCCCCCCCTATTGGTGCTCCTGCTGTTCAAGTACACTATTTTATAAAAATCCATGAATATGTGTATTTAGTTCTTGAAACTACCATTGTAAACGTAAAAATGTGTTCCAAGTGTTTTAAAGAGTTTTGACATACTTAATATGTTACAATTTACAAGTGAACTGTAATGAAGTAATCATTTGAAATACAATGAAGTCATATGTAATCTGGTTAGCGTGTTCTTTTTTAGCGACTTAGTTTTCTATGGGATGGGGTCGCTAAACCCATGCCCAATGCTCCTCCTTTATTTGGGCTTGAGACCGGCAGTAGCCACTAGAGGGACTGCAGGCGGCCTATGCTTCATTAGGAGTAATAGGCGTAATTAAGTAATATGTAATCTATATTAGATCAGTATGGAAATGTGAATTCCTTTGGTAAGGCGGTTATGAATCTCCAAAACTAAGCAATTCCATATTAGAAAGAAAATAGCTATCTAATGATCGCATGTAGACTACAAATTAATCAATCATGTGAAAAGAAATCACCCATATCAATAATATTGTATGAATCAACTAAAGTGATACAATGATGACATTTATCCATTCTCTATGTCATCAGTGGATGGATAAATGTATTGCCCCCAAATGCTCTGGTATAGCCCAGAGTGCGGAGAGTCCGCTCTCTTTCTCTCCAAATGCTCTAACATAGCCACGCGTATACAGCCTCTGCAGGGAAGTCCTACTCACTGCCTTCTCACAACAGGGGTGTTGTTTACAAAAATGAGAGGACGAAAAGCAAATGTCCGGCACTTTAACCGGATCCCAAACCAATAGTGCACATGGTCTCCAGTATCCTGAGTGAACAAATGGCGTATGAACCAATCGTTGGTCACCAGCTACCATGGGACTGCATCTCCTCACGATGCTCCACTGCACTGTGGATCAAACATTCAGGTCGAAGGCTCTGGGTGTGGCTCCCCTAAGAAAACCACCTGTTTCGGTTTGGGCACCCGGGCAGTATCACAGCCCTCACATAAATCAATTGAGATTCGTGTGGCACATATGTATTTGGTGCCTCCTTCTACCAATATCTATGTGTTCAAATAAATAAATAAATAACTGTATTCATCAAATAAGTTCTGGCTATTATCTATTTCATAAAAGATCCATTCATGATTATGAATTGAATATCTGTTGAAGAATAGATGATGTTTAAAAAAGTGGAGTAGGGTTGCTCAATGCATAATATTGGGGATGGGGGTTGTTGTTCAAAAAAAACAAAAACAAGAACATTACAGTAACAATTCAAATTTATTATTCTTGGATATACTTTACACTTACAATAGTTTTTGTTAGAATACATTGTAGAACAGAAGATCAAATGAAAGAAAAATAGAGAAAAAAATAATAATAAACACATATTCATTATAATTTTGAGTCAGTCAGTCAGTCACTTACAAAGCAGGACCATGAGCACATATATACATGGGTACAAGTTTGCTATACCTCATTAGCACCGCAAAGATGAACACCGGATTCATAGAAGTAGTCACTTCAATGGTGGTAATATATAAAAGAAAGATTATATATAAGAATATAGTACAAGAAGACTTAGTACTTAGAAAGAACGATATGAAGCAATTTCAATCTCATTGTTTAAGGGAAGACAAAGAGTGTATACACCTACACCATCGTGATCGATTCTGAGCCATGTCACACACAGTCTCCAACCATTGGTTACGATAGTCACACGAACCCCAAACAAGTAGTCTGCATCTACCGACATGGCACAGACCAGATGTTAGTGACTTCAAGCATTGCGCGTCGTGGTAAACGGTGTTCAGGCATACGCAGCACGTGTCACAACCATCTCAGTCAATGAAGATTCATAACCTCATCAACTGATTTGCCAACATTCCCTAATACTCTCCCCGTCTAACTTCACTATTACTTACCTGGTGATCGCAGCAGACACAAGCAATATTTCTAAGGTATCTGTCATCAAATAGTAGTAGCCTACGATTATCTTCTACTCTTAATGACTAAGTTTTGCAGCTGAATAGTAGAACAAAACAAACTGCCGCGCAGTATACTCGTCCCTTAATTGATAAACGGATATATCGCCTTCTTCATAGGTAATTTTGATGAAAGTTGGAAAAAGTTAAAGTGAGTTATAAGTTAGAAACACCCTAATTAACTCTATTATAAGGATACAATATCCTTAGTGAGTGTTGAAACACTAAGAATCTACACAGCAAAACTAATGCATGCTAAAAACATTATGTGTTTAGACAACATCAACAACTAAAACAAAACAACACACACACACACACAGATAAACACTAACAATAACTATAGAATGTGTACAAATGTTTGGAATAGTAAAGAAAACAAATGAAAAACTGTATGAAATACACATAAAACGATAAACTATCACTACAGTTACAACAATAAACAAAGAATTGTATTCATTCATATAGACATATTATGAAATCTTCATCAGATTTATGAATACAACTAGTTTGCAGTTAATAGTCTATACTCATTAGCATTGATTATTGACATTAGAAGGGGTTTTGTGTGGATATTAAAGCAATTTCAGTGATTGAAATCATGAGTCAATTGAAACTAGACATCTATAGAAAACCTGGGAGCATTAGAAGACTATTTAGTCATCAGTACGCTTCCATGATCCTGTCTCGCGAGATTTGAACCCAGGATTTATGGGTTTCGTTCGGGAACGCTTAACCACTGGATCAATGAGCTAGCATCCAACAATGTTATTGACAGTTAGTAAGAGGAAAAGTTTTAAACATCTTTACAAATGGGATTAGAAATAACCTATATTGATCATATGATTACTTTGTAAAGTATTTTTATTATATATGTATTGAAGTACAATCCAGCCAGTCAGTCGTTAAACAACCAACTTGTACAATCTTCAAAATCTTATCTAAACATTTATGATAAAGAGACAAAACCTAATCAAGAATAACCTATCATTAAGTTTCAGTGATATTAAGTGAAATTAGATAAGGAGTGTTGTTTTACTTAACGTATATATCTAAGTTGCTCTCAAATGCCCTGGTACGGCCGAGAGTGGGGAGAGTCCGCTCTCCCTCGAAAAATGCTCTCATCACATGGCCACGCGTATATAGCCTCTGCCAGGGAAGTCCTACTCATTGCCTTCTCGTGGCATTACTGTTGTTTACGAAAATGAGAGGACGAAAAGCGAATGTCCGGCACATTAACCGGATCCCAAATCAATGGTGCACATGGACTAGCTCCAGTATCCTGAAGGAACAAATGGTGTATGAACCAATTTCTTGGTCACCGGCTACCATGGGACTACATCTCTTTACGTTGCTCCACTGCATTGTGGATCAGAACTTCAGGTCGAAGGCTTCGGGTGTGGCCCCCTAAGAAAACCACCTGTTTCGGTCTGCGCACCCGGGTAGTATCACAGCCTTCACACAAATCAATTGAGATTCGTGTGGCGCATATCTATTTGGTGCCTCCTTGTACCAATACCTATGTGTTAAAATAGTAATAATAATAATAATAATAAAATATATCTAAGTTAATTAAGTTGATGCTTTAAACAATGCTAGAACATGAATAACTGAACCTTAATATTAGTTATAGGTAATTACTGTTGTATATGACTATTATCACAATGGAAAAGATGATCTTAAACATAAAGTTTTTTAATTACATAGAAGTAATGTTAACATCATAGAATCATATATAACGTATCATTCTATGACTAGAATGATACTAAAATGCAATAAATCAGTATTGAATCCCAGTATTAAAATTTCGTTGATAGATGATAGTCATTAGTAAGGCTTATCTAAAATCTTAAGAGAATCAGTACTACTACCCTTCCATAAGATTTGAATTCTTATTACCAAATTTTAGTTCCTTTAATATTGTACATACATCTTGCTGGAAATATGCAACTACCAAGAAACATCAGTCTAAAGATTTTACTACCAATTACTCTCAACTATTTAACAATGAAACTATTTGTTTAATAGTAGATTAGTATAACAAAATAATAACACTTCATATATAAAGTAAAGTAAAACTTACTTTGATAACCACCACCACCACCACCACAACCAGCAACAATAGACTGATTATTAGCCGGTGTATTATTATTATTATTACTATTATTGGTGGGAAACTCAAATCCATGATAATATGGATAATGATGAAGAGGAGAATTAGAATGTTGTTTTAATTTATTAGTATCTAATTCACTGGATAATGATCGTTTAGATTTTGATATTAAATCCTTACGTTGTTGTTGTTGTTTTCCAGATTCCATAGTTATCCATGGATCTGGATTAATTGATACAAGACATTTCATTGTGTCATCATCATCATCATCATCATCACCACCACCACCACCACCCTTTACTTCATCATTATCATGATGATGATGATGTTCTTGTTGTTGGTGTTGTGTTGTAGATGGATGATTACTAGATGTTGTTGTTTTTGTTGGTGATGATGATAATGTAGAATGAGTTAATGAAGTAGAATGTAATCGATTAGATGAATGAAATTCTTCAGTGAATTGAGCTTCATTAGTATTATTCTTATTATTATTCTTATTATTATTATTATTTGGTTTTAATAAACTCATTCTATATGGTTTAAAGTTAGTGTTATTAGTATATTTATAATTGGATTTTTGTATATTAGATATAATTCGATTATTATGATGAGTTGTATGACTATGATTATAAAAAAAGGTGAAAAAGAGGATATATGGATAAAACAAATTAAAAAGAAAAATATTGAATATTATAGGAGTCAGTGGAAAACAAAACAAGCATCACTATCACCACCACCACCACCCCCACCCCCACTTAACAAACTTTAGTAAATGAAGTAATTTAATGGAAATGAGAACTAAACAAAATAACTATTTCAGATTAGTGACAAGTGTCTAACTCAGTACAATGGATGATAGTCGTACAATTTTGTGGATTGGTTGACGTTAGACATTAGCACAGCATTAGATGCCATGTCAGTGGTCCAGTAGATTAGGCGTTCGCACGCGAGATTTAAGGCTCTGGGTTCGAATCCCGCGAGCGGGATCCTGGGTGCACACTGTTGAAGAGTCCCACAATAGGATGAAATGGTCATCTAGCGCTTCCAGGTTTTCCATGTTGCTCTAGCTTCAATTGAATCATGATCTCAACTATTGAAACCAATAAGCTATTGTATAAAGACTCAATATAATAAGAATAATAATCAAATCAATAATTGGAGATCAATAAGATTATGTAAGAGGTAAGCATAAGAAGACGAGAAAAGAGAGGATTGGGAATTCTAGAACAGGTTATTTGATAAAAAAAATTTGATGTTACGTCTTCTTCCAATGTCTAAGCCATGTTGATAGATGTAAACTAATCAGATGGGGAATGTACGATTATCATAGCCATATAGTTGAAGACGTACACTAACATGATACAGAATAGATTACACTAGGCTAAATTAAATCAATGAACATTTGACAATCGGATATTATCCATAGTAACAACATATCCATAAATGAAGATTAATTAAGTTTTAAGTCGTTTTTGTATTGGTCAGTTGTGATTGTATGTTGATGATCACATTGGTTGAAAATTTTAATGATTTACTGAACTCAATAGTTCAGTTCCGATGTAAGTAATGTTTAGCTGAAGAGTTCTGAATAGGACAAAAAGAGCATTCTACATTTCATTATAATCTACAAATCAAATATACCGAAATTTGTGACTATAAGTCAGATAAAACTAATTCACTCACTATATAAACATACAACAATGAAAACTTGAATTGATGAATATTAACAAGAAGATATCATGAAACTACATTCATTCAATCTAATCTATTGACAATAACACATTTTTCTAAGTTCAATAGAGATATCAAGTTTAGAAAAAAAAAACAACCCTAGGGGTGATACAACAATCTTGTGATCATAACCAATCAATCAATGGCGTCGGTGTATACACTCTCTGTCTTCCTTTAAACTAAACTATGAGATTAAAATCACTTCAAATCTTTCTTTCTAGGAACTAATTTTTTCTTCCTGTACTATCTCTTTATACACAATCTTTCTTCTATATATTATCACCACTGAATTAACTACTTCTATGAATCCGGTGTTCATCTTGTTGTGCTAATGCGGTATGGCAACTTGGACCGATGCATATATGTGCCTGGTCCTACGTTGCAGCTGACTGACTGAACCAATCAATCAATTAATCAATCTATTCATTCATTCATTTGTATCATTAATGAAACACATTGATCATGTTAACTTGTTCATTTCAATGTTAACAACACAAAGATGATGCTTAATGGAGTTGAAACATTCTACTGTTAATTCATAGGTTGTAAATTCATGAGTTGCTTTAATATTGAAGGAGTTAACCTCGAACAATCAACGATACAAGTAAATGAGTTACTTTTAACAAAAACAATAAATAGTACTTATAGAAAGAAAACAGTAGTAAATTGATGAAAACATAATTTATTTCCTTTCATAATAATAATAATAATAGGCTTGTAATAAATCATTAAAAAGTAATCGAAATTATGATCAGAAGGGGTTATATTTGTGAATATTTTTATAGTTGAGATCATAAGTCAATTGAAGGGAGATCATCATCATCATAAAAAAAACCTCTGAAAACATTGGATGGTTGTTTCGTCCTATTGTCAGTCAATCAGCTGGAACGTAGGAACCAGATACATAATATGTGCACACTATTTGTCATCACAACCACTCAGTGTGGTAATGTGATAGGGGAGACAAGAAGAAAGCAATAACAATGTACATAGCCACCTAAATGTGTTGCAATTGACAATGGTGGTGTACAACAACAATAGCATCATCAGAGATGACATTGTAGTGGTCTCCAATTAACCTATATTGCAACCTATCTGTTAACACACATATGATGGTTTGTCCTGATGAAAGTGCCGTTATAATGCTAGGTTTGAAGTGATTACGAGTTCACTTAGACTGAGAACGGAACAAAGATTCAGTGATGATCAAAAACCAATAAGTTAGCTATTTGATGCGTTCCAGTCCCACTAACTAGAGGAAAAAGTTGAAGCTTGGAATGGGGAAATATATTCTGGAAACTGCCAGAAGCACGAGCGATAACAACAAACACAAATCAAAACATATATATATATATACAGCAAAAAACCGTCTTTGTGGAGAGTTACCAAATAGCATACTAAAAGACACAACGGATCAACAGCATTTAAGATATTTTTCAAGTGGGAAGATGACAAGAGCGCTATAGTGCGAAAACAAAGAAATTCAAATTTTCTAAATAAAATTACAAACTTAGGTCGTTTTTCCAAGTGAGTTCTCAGAATTTAAGGTCCCTAACATGGGGCGGGATAATGGATGCCCACTGTCACTAGAGAGTCCCATACTAGGATGAAACGGCCGTCCAATGCTTCCAAGTTTTCCATAGTGATCTAACTTTAATTGATTCATAATTTTAACTATTGATATATTAATGTAAAATTTATAAGTAAAAATGGATAGTGATTAGTAGTGAAATCTAGAATAAGTGTTTCATCCTGGTTCAGTTGAATATTGATATTCGTGGGTTCAGGATTCCACTGCTAGTCACTATTCATCTTTGCTTAAAATGATTGTAAATTAAGGTAATACGCACAGGATAGCCATATCCCAATAATAGACTAATCAATTGTTGTCCTAAGCAACAATCAGAAAATTCAAATAAACAATATATAATATTTGTATAAGTTTTTCATTATGATTCAAAAACTACACGTTAGCAAATTGTGAACACATAAGAACTCTCTTATTTTTAAGATTTGTTCTCTAAATATTGACTAGTATCCAGCTATTTGTTTATTGATCTCTATGTATCGGTGGTTTTTTTTTCTCTTTTGGACAAATGGAGTTTACTCCCATGTCTTTCTGTATATCTATCTATCTGTCGACTGATCGATCGATCGATCAGCTCATGAATCCATTGTGAGTAGCGAAAAAAAAACAAACAATAGTTGTAACAGTGACAGAGTGGAAAATTTTAGTTTCTTTTTACAAGAACAATAAACAGGCAAACACATATGCTCATAAACCAAACTCATAACTTGTAAATGAAACAGGATTAATGCATAGAGATTAAACGAATTTATATAAAAGAAAAATGTTAGTTGTTAAGTGAAAGAATATAAGATTTTGTGCATTATTGTTAATATCACTGTTATAATGAGGCATAAAATTGATTAAGATAAAAAAAAGGATTAACACTAAGGAGGTAGAGTGAATAAGACGATCATTTGGGATAAGTATTATTCAAGCATATCATTCAACCAACAAAACTATATAAGACTTATTTTATATCACCAATGAAATCATATTATTGCGTATCAACTTTAGACTATCATAAACAGATACATTCAAACACACCTGACCGTTGTTGCTACCTTGACATGGTGGTTGAGCTTACGTATCGTAATGAACCAACTGAGCTATTACTGGCTGGAACATCCGTTCCTCAAAGAGGTCCTACCATGCCAGATAGGTCGGTTGAAGAGCGGTAAGACTGAAGACGGAAAAATCGAGGTTTGAGGGCGAAGTTGTACTCGTGATTGTACGCAGGTGTGACAGCAGTAAGGTGTTTCCTCCAGACAACTAGCATAACAGAGATGCTGAAGTTAGAAAAGGTTGACTGCAACAATACAAACCTCAACTTATCTCACGAATATCCGTCTCCGGCAGCAAGGTTTCAACAAGTACGGAGCTAACACATAAACTACTCATAAAAACGTCGTGTGTGACCGACCTCAAGCAGTTGTCCCTTGGGCACTGTGAATCACGCTCTCTGGTCACTATGACCATCTCTAATTCAACTCCCCTTTCAGGTACCTTCAGAAGAACCTTTCCACAGTTTTCGCAACCAGGAAGTGATTACCGCCCTCATACCTCCTCTAACAGTACTCAAGACTCTTGTATTCATAATCAACCTCCCTTTTCATTGATAATCAAAATACCTAACTTTCAGATTTCCACATAAGATAACTATGATCTTTTTTTTTTAAATTAAATCAACAAGTTGCTATACACAAATGCAACGATCAAATTCTATGCATCAAACACATGCGTACTGTGTTTTATCAATTCGACCGCCCCCCCCTCCCGAAAAAAAAAACAATCCATACACATTTTGGAACATATTGAAAAACACAATCTCAGTTAAACTATTACCCATTTAAAATTCGGATAGAATAAAAAATAATAAAAAAAGGAATCATGTTAATATAGCATTAAACAAAAAAAAAAACAAACAAAACAAACTCATAGAATATACAAATATCCATGTTTTAAGTTGATTGTTATACTTAATAATTACACACACATTTAACTATATTACTAACATGTTGTAATAGTAGTAGTAATGGTTATGGTATTTCATATGACTTATGTAAAAAAAAAATAACAATAACCTTTATTCACAAATGATAATGAATTTATTTACAAATTATAAACAAGTACAATTCTTTTTGTTCTTCCTGTGAAAACAGAAAAAAAAAATTATCCATGAGATAAAAAAAAATAAAGAAGAAGAAAGGAAGTGAAATCAGAATTGAATCATAAAGATAGAGAAAGAGAGAGAGTGTGTGTGTGTGAGTGAATGAATGAATGAGTGAGTAAGTAAGTGAGTAAGTGAGTAAGTAAGTGAGTAAGTGAGTAAGTAAGTGAGTAAGTGAGTAAGTAAGTAAGTAAGTAAGTAAGTAAGTAAGTAAGTAAGTAAGTAAGTAAGTAAGTAAGTAAGTAAGTAAGTAAGTAAGAAGGAAAGAGAAGACAACCATTGAGAATATAGTAAACAAGTATATATGTTAAGAAAATGATAGAAAAAAAAAACGAAAGAGAAAAAGAAAAGAAATGAAATAAAATTACAGCTAACAAAAGTAGCATCATTGTAAAGTAACAATGACAAATGTAGCTAAATCGATTCAATGTGTAATAATAAGTAGCTAGAAATTTTAGTTTAGCATAGTAACAATTTATTTAGAGCTCAAATAATTAGCGCATAAGTAGGCAAGAATACACACACACACACACACACACACATACATTCTTGCTTACTTATATCAAACATAACTATTGTATATAAGTGCATTTTGTAAAGGTGTAATATGAAATAGATTTATATATACATACATACATACATACCTACACACACACACACACACAAACATACACGCACAAATAATTTCACTTCAACTCACCCTGACTTAAAACGACCACATCGAAAACTTGATATAGATAGATAGATAGATAAAAAGAAATTATTCATAATATAGAATAAATAATAATAAACCAAAAAACAGGCAAATTAATGAGATAGAAAGTAAAATACTATAAGCCATGACATTCTTTGTATATTTCATCAATGTAATCATATGCAGTATAAGAATGTTATGTCCCAGTAAACATCATGAATGATCAATTTTGGAATCCATTTATGCATCAATACTATATTGTATAATTGTTAATTAACTAAACTATTTGCATATTCATGTCCCTCTTACTATAAGCTTTATTTTGATATATGAACTGTTATTATACAATTTACCATTCTTGAATTAGGCCCTGTCTATCGATTACTATCTTCCACATTCACAGGTACATTTGCTTTAATCTTGTATAAATGATATTTTATGGTACGATGTAGTCTGTTTGATTGGTATATAAACCCAGTATGTTTAAAATAAATGATTCATATCACAGAGGATCGGATTGGTGTTCTGGACTTAACTGGCAGAACCGATAAGTACTTTAGACTGCTATTACGTGTTTTATGCGTCACTAGTCCGATCGATAATTCACTGCTCTTTAATTGGTGGTAGTATCGTTGCGTTATACATTAACAGGGTACACAGGTCACAAGTTGTAACAAATAACCACAGGTAGATAGAGAGACAGAGGGAGCACATATAAATAAACTGAAATTGTGTACTAAACAGAAATAGATAGTGGATAGTAATAAAATTCCAGATACGCGTTTCACTTTATCTGGGACTTATCAACTGGATGTACATTCCATCCCAGAGTTGGCGTTCAATCAGTGACTTGAACCCAGTATCGTTTGCTTTAAACGTCATTGCATTGTCCACTTAGCTACTGAATCCAGATAGCCACTGACTTGTGCAATGTCCTGAATTTTAATTCATACATCATGGTTATATGAATCATCTCACTGGTGTTTAGAACTGCAATTAATAAGCCATTATCCATTTTTGCTTAAAATGCTTGTAGTTTGATGGTAATATCACGTTAATCTGTACAAAATACACCTATAACAAAGGAAACTGATCAATTGCAGTCCTAAACAACAATCAGAAGATTAAAACAATCAACATATATGACTTGTGTACTAAATGTAATAACATTGCGAGCAAAACATTTAGATTATTATTTGTAGCAGATTTTATAAATCATAGTGCAAATTCTTAAACACTAAAATTACTATTTATTGATTTATCAACCAATCTAGTCAGTTCGAAGTCCTAAAGGAACCAATTGAAGTGTTTGCTGTAAACTGCGCATAATTCATGTATTATAAATGATCTTAAACAATTAAAAGATCATTTAACAAACAGTTAATTTGTAAATTATGATAATGCAACAAATTTCTAAGCATTGAATTTGTTGTAAGCGGATTATTAGTAGTGTGGTGTAGGTTACTTATATCCACACAAGTAGTATATAACGATGGTCAGCCATAGAATGTATTTCAGTAGAAGGTCGATGAGGAATTACGTGCTTAAATACATTCGATTGTCCCCACCTATGTTCTGTTCACTACAGTAGTAGAAGTATTCTACAAGAGCGCAGACTTACTTAGGTTTGGGTAACTGTGTAATCTACCATTAATTTACAAACATCCATCGTTTAGTGTAATGCAGAGTACGTATAAGAGTAAGTTAGAAGAAATCTGAGGGTGGTTATACTAAGACGTAGTATTAATCCATGAAGTTGTTATCAAAGCCCCCAAATGACCTGGTACGGCCGAGAGTGGGGACAGTCCGCTCTCCCTCTCGAAATACTCTCACATGGCCACGCGTATATAACCTCTGCCAGGGAAGTCCTACACACTGCCTTCACGTGGCATTACTGTTGTCTACGAAAATTAGAGGACGAAAAGCGAATGTCCGGCGCTTTAACCGAATCCTAAACCAATAGTGCACATGGTCTCCAGTATCCTGAGGGAACAAATGGCGTATGGACCACTCGTTGGTCACCGGCTTGTGTATCAGATATTCAGGTCGAAGGCTCTGGGTGTGGCTACCAAAGAAAACCACCTGCTTCGGTTTGGGCACCCGGGCAGTATCACAGCCCTCACACAAATCAATTGAGATTCGTGTGGCGCATATGTATTTGGTGCCTCCTTGTACCAATACCTATGTGTTAAAATAAAATAAATAAGACTGGGTCATGTCATCAATAGGTGTAAACTACTACATGATTGTTGTAACCGATGGTTAGAGAATGAATAAAATGGTACAGAATCGCTTACCATATCCAATGTACATTCACTCTTTTCATGAAACGTTTTAATATATGATCTTTTCTTCAACTAATGACATAATTACTACTTCTATACTACTACTCTAGGATTTGTCTTGCTAATATAAAATGGCGAATTGAATTGATGGACATAAATACCCAGCTTCGACGCTATCCACGTCTAACTAAGTACATATACTTTTTATTGCAACTAATTTTGTCAGAACAATTCAAATACGTGTTAGAGAACATTAGAAAATTAACGAATTACTGAAATCTACAATTTAACTATTTATAAGTAGCTTATTACGTTCAATAAAAAGTAATTTGGCCGAATCAACGTATAGCATTTTGTAGAATTTTTAAAACCAAAAACCAATTTTCAGAATAAAAGGATTAAATGTCTAACAAGTGAAAAGGGGTTCGAGACACTAGTTGATGAATTTTATAGAAAGAATAAACACGAAGTTGGAAAGCAAAAAACAAAACATGTTACATGACTGAAAATCATAGTGCATTGTATTAACTGCAAAGATGGATGGATATTGGTTACCAGTGGAATCCAAAATGCGCGTTTCGTCCTATTTGGGACTCATCAGATGGATGTGCCTAAATCTCGGACTAGAACTCAATATCACCATCGCGTTATCCATCTAGCTACTGAGTTCATCTTTGCATATAATGCATGCGAATTAAGGCTATATCAATGAAATACGCACAATATGCACATATATCAATAATAAACTGATCAATTGCAGTTCTAAACATCAATGGAAAGATTCAAACAAACAATACCAAGTAAATCATTGTATTAACTGTTGATAGAAGTCCATTAGTTTCGATACCTTAGGAAATATAACTTGACATGTGTTCACTTGAAGAGATGAAATATCTATAACAAATACTAAGCTAACTGAAGATGCAACTGTAATGCAATATGACTTACAAGATGTTGACTAATACAGAAAGAATTAAATTATGATATGTATTTCTGTTTAATCGATGATAGAATCAAATAACATACTAACAAAGTCATTTTAACCACCTTGTAACAGAAAATAAGGATACACAAACGAACCCAACCAATAGTGATAATCAGATCAATGCTACAGATGATCAAAATCAAAAGTACTTCTATGAAAAAAAAATACAATACTGAATGAATTACCTTCGAGCTATCCTTAATGTTAAACTACGAAAGAATCGTCCTGGTCGAGAATGACTAGATGATCCATTCTTTGAAATTGTAGTTGATGGAATTTCTATCGTCATTGAAGAATCTGAAGAATTCTTTAATTCTGTAGAACAATCAATATTTTGATTTGGATCTAAATTTTTCTTGTTTGTTATCACCGGTTTTGATTCACCAGTAGTTGTAGTCATTATAATATTATTTGGTCGATGACGTACTGACCATTTAATAACTGAATCTCTTTTTAACGATGTTGCTGCTGCTGCTACTGTTGTTGTTGTTGTGGGTAATTTGAAACCATATGATTTTGAATCAGATTTTTTTCGATCATCATTCATTGTCTTCTCATTTATTTTTAATGTATCAAGTGCTTTGAAAATTGAATCAGGTAATGCAGCGATTCGACCACCACTAGGTGATGAAGATTGTTTATTATTTTGTTGTTGCTGCTGCTGTTGTGTGATTTTCGTAGAATTCATTGTACCCGATGAAGATGTTGGATCTAATGTGGATGAATGACTATCGGTAAAAGTGAATGATTCCGATAGTTTCGTATTCACATTATTATTATTCTTCTTCTGATCATGATGATTATCTGATTGATTGATTGATAATTTTTTTGATTTTTTACTTTTATTATTATTATTATTAAATAATGAATAAGGAATACTTGGACGATTGACATCATTTTGTGGATGCTTTAATCGATCATTTGTATGTAAAATATCAATGATAGAATTAGTATCATTCGAAGAAACTTTACTACTACTATTAATAATAGTAGTAGTAGTAGTATCATTATTGGTAGTAATGGGTAAAGTTGTTGTATTAGGCTTGGAATGAATTGAAGTATCTTTATGCTTTTTTCGATATGGAAGTGTTCTATAATTGTAAGTAACCAAAGAAAAAAGAACAAAAAAAAAACTTAAAATTGAAAAGAATAAGAAGGGGGGGGGAAAGGGGTGAATTCATTAACTGACCATGATAAAGTGTAACATGTTAGTGTTATGGTGGAATGAAAAAGTATGAGAACAAAAACTACTTAAAATGTAATCGAAGTATCATTGATATTACTCTATACACACACTGAAATGATTTTGTATTGAATATTTTGCTTAATGATGAAGATTTCTATAAATTTTATAGACAATATGCTCAATTGTTGTTATTTGCAAAGATGATTCAATTCAGTTCAATTCAGCTAAAAGAGTTAATTATAAATGTTCTTTATCATTGAGAGGAAAAAGATTTGGTGAGACTCTAATTTATGGACAAGCCAATCAGAAGCGCTTGAGAAATTTCAACATTATGGCACCAACTTCAATGCTTAATATGCTAACGTACCATTGGTTCACAAAGACATGATAATTGAGTGGCAATAACAAATAAAACAGCGAGACTATAATTTGTGGCCGAATCAATCAGGTATACGATAACAGATCTCGGTACTACAATAGATACGGATGTTTGCAGAGTATACAGACTTCTACATAGGCTTGGTTATGTGCATGGTGTCGTTATGCACAAGTGGCATTTTGTGTACTCAACAACCAGAGTGCACATAAACAATATTGAAGCTATGTGGTCAAGGCTGAAAATATTTTTAAGACTTTATCATGGTTCCAGAGGTCGACTATTCTGTAACCATATGGATGATTTCCTGTACTACATGCATTACGATTTGAGAACCTCTGAACCTCTTTCTAACCTTGACAACTTTTTGAATCATGTATAAGAAGTGTATCCACTTGAATTCTTTGATTTTGTATAATATATTTTACTCTATACGGACTGCTGATTGGCCAATATTCATCAAGATCACTTAAGACTCGTTCAAAGGTTGTCTTTAAGTTATAATCACTCGGTAAAAATTCCACTGAATCATCATCTACTAACACAGATAGTCAATCAGTTAGTCAGAAAAAGAAAGCCATTAAAACAATTACCACTCGAAAAAAGAATATGTCAGTTAAGTCAAATCATACACAGTTTAGATTCCATTGAGATACTATATACTAAACAAGTAAAGCAAACTGGTTCATAATGAAAAAAAGGGAATATTTAAGACACACGTCATTTAAATAAGGAGGACATCATAAGAATTATATTCAGCGGTTGTTATTCATAACTAGTTTCAAGGTGATAGATCAACTTAATTTGCAAAAATAAAGAAGTTTGAGAGAGAGACAGAGAGATGATTTAGACAAGGGTTATGAAATATGAGAAACAAATTCAATTCTACAATTGTAAGATAAGATAACGTAGTGTATATAGGGAATGATCATAGGAAATCTAGACAGTTATCAATTACATTGATTAAACAATATTATTGATGAATTTGTCGATTATATTATGGAATTATTCCACTTTGTAAGTAAGTTATATGCAACATACTATTCATTGTTTTTATCCATTAAATTGCAGATTCGAACTTTAATACTATCTTAGTAGTATCTTATATCTGGAAAGATACTGATCCTAGATAACGTGGTACAATAATAAGTGAAGAGAACCTCTTCTTTATCACTGTTACGTAATTATAGGGTTATACGAAGTGAATGAGAAATAAAAAGGGAACATCCGACACCAAAAACCGATTGGTGGATATAGAGTAAGAAAATTGGAAAACCGTGATTCCCAATCAATTCTGTATGTGAACTTCAAATTTTCTGAGAAAATAATATGGTATGTGAGCCAATTTTTGTTGCTGGCTAATATCGCACTGAATCTCCTGTCGTTACTTCACAAACTAATGAATTCAAACAACCAGATCAGAGATAATGAGAAATCTCCAGCATCTGGAAGCAACAAATGACGTGTGACACTATTGTTGATCACCAGTTATCGTGAAACTGCATCTCTTGACATTGCTCCACTGCCTTGTGGATTAGACCTTTAGGTCAAACGCTCGAGGTGTCCCCCATAGGAAAACTACCTGTTTCGGTTCGGGTACACGGGTGGTATCCCAGCCCTCACACAAATCGAATGATTTATGTGGTGCATATCTATTTAGTGCTCCGTTGTACCAATGTTTATGGGTTTAAATAAATAAATAATATCTCAGAGGTGAACTGAAATATTGAAAGAATAGTTCTAATTACTATTGATAGGATATTGTGCTTTTAAGGGTTACTACACTTATGTTAAGCTCTATCCTATCCTTATACGCTTTAACACTTCATTAAAACTGTCATCAGTTATTTATTTACTAATAAGAGTGACAGACAAAACGTTCTAAGCTGTCGATTACATATATCATCAGAAAATCTTGCTTATAATATAAGAAGGAAGGTGTATAGAACATTTCAGTTTCCAGTTCATTAGTTGACTGATTCAAATCAAGAGTTATCTTTATGCATATTTGCACTTGTCTTAGAAAACATGGTATTTAGACGTGTTTATAGTATGTAGTTTAAGCCAAAACTGTTAATATGATGGTAGATGTCTCTTAAAACATTTACATTTTAACATTTAGACAAATACTGACAATCTACAATTTGTGTTTCTAATACATGTCAGTTTATAATACACCATAGGGTTAAAGACTAGCATAAAATGTTTAATTTCACTGATAACCAAAACAGGTGGTCTTCTACCTCAAGATCTGATCCACAAGACAGTGAAGCAACGTTAGGAGATGTAGTCCCATAGTAGCCGGTGACCAATAATTGGTTCATACACCATTTGTTAACTCAGGATACTGGATCCAGCCTATGTGCACCAGTGGTTTGAAATCAAAGTTTTCCAACTCTTCTAAGTGGATCCTACATATTCACCAACCTAGTTAAAGCATCGAACATTCGCTTTTCGTTTTTTTTTTTTCATTTTGGCAAACAACACCGCCGTCACAAGAACACAGTTAGTAGGACTTCTCACACAATGGCTACGTGAGTGCATTTTTCGATAGGCAAAGCTGACTCCCCCTACCATAGAATTTAGGAGTCGATACTCATTGTTAAAAGTTTTACAAACTCTTCATTTTTTTTTAAAACGAATGAATCAACCATCTTCAATGAATTGCTCCCAAATGCCCTGTTACGGCCGAGAGTGGGGACAGTCCGCTCTCCCTCTCGAAATGCTCTCACATGGCCACGCGTATATAGCCTCTGCCAGGGAAGTCCCACTCACTGCTTTTCCGTGGCATTACTGTTGTTTACGAAAATGAGAGGACGAAAAGTGAATGTCCGGCACTTTAACCGGATCCCAAATCAATGGTGCACATGGGCTGGCTCCAGTATCCTGAAGGAACAAATGGCGTATGTACCAATCGTTGGTCATGGGCTACCATGGGACTGCATCTCCTTACGATGCTCCACTGCCTTGTGGATCAGACCTTCAGGTCGAAGGCTTGGGGTGTGGCCTCCTAAGAAAACCACCTGCTTCGGTTTGGGCATCCGGGCAGTATCATAGCCCGCATATGTATTTAGTGCCGCCTTGAACCAATACCTATGTGTTAAAATAAATAAATACTTCAATGAATTACACTAAAAAACACATTGGGGTATGTTATTCATTAACACAGATAACATAAAAGAAGAATTGATTACAATAAGAAGAAAAAAAACAACATATAAATTCCTTAATAGATAACAAATAGATAATAGAGAAGATTTATAGATTAACTGACTAATTTCGATGGAGTTTCAGTTCTCTGAACTGAATGATTTGATTTAAAGATCTTTTATCATTCGTCTAAACAACATCATCAATATAAACTTGAAGTTCTTTTGAATGATGACAGTTCCATAATCAAAACTATTCAATCTCAAAGAACTCAAACAATAACAAGTACTTTATTGATTCTAACAATTACTACTCATTGAAAAAAAAAAGATTATCACATATTTCAACTGATTTGAGCATACATATATATATATATATATATATGGTGAATGCTGTAGGTAACAAAATTAACCAATCAAATGAATCCATTTGTTGTTACTATGCCTATTATTTATCATATCGATCGATTATAAAGTGCATAATATAGTGAAGAAAATCTACCAATTAAAAGAAAAAAATGTCTTTAAAAGAGAAAAAAGACCTTTATTGACAAAAAAAGATGATGATGATGATCGCATAACTTCTTTTTCATCTGTTAAACTACAATCTTGAATGAACTAATCAGGTATATAATAATAATAGATCTCGAATTTTTGGCAAGAAATTCATTTGGTTGAATAGAGTTTTAGGATTATATAGCGAATGTCAATTGATGATGAAAATCTTACATCTAATTTGTAACTTTAATCATCTATTTTATATATATTATAATCCTTATTCTACACACTGCGTGACTATCGTAACCAATGGTTGGAGACTCTTGATGACATGGCTCAGAATCGATCACAATGGTGTCAGTGCATACACTTTCTATTTTCCTTTAAACTAAGTGATTAAAATCGCTTCATGTCTTTCTTTCTATGAACTAATCCTTTATTCCTGTACTGTCTTCTTATATACAATCTTTCTTTTATATATTAATTCTATTGAATTAACTACTTCTATGAATTCGGTGTACATCTTGTTGTGCTAATGCGGTATGGCAACTTGAACCGATGCATATTTGTACCTGGTCGTACGTTGCAGCTGACTGATTGATTCTACACACTGGTTTGTAACACTCAATGGGTCTTAGTTATCATCAAATAGACAATCGGAAGGTCATATTAGCGTTGCTTAAATAATCATCCATAAATTATTATCTCATCACATTTCTAAATCTTTAAGATGGAATCATTTCAATGATAATGTTGACTTTTAAAATAGATTGAAAAATATACAGAAACTAAAACTAGTGGTCAGTCAGTTACAACGTAGGATCAGGCACATATCAGTTTAAGTTGACGCACCTCATTAGCACAGTAAGATGAACATTGAAT